GCGTGCGCCACCAATGCCCGGCCATTACAGATGTTTTTGAGCCACCATATGGTTGCTGGGAATTGAACTCAGGACCTCAGGAAGAGCAGCCAGTGCTCTTAACCTCTGAGCTATCTCTCCAGCCCCGAGAGCTTATATCTTGATCTACAAACACGAGGCAAAATGAACACACTAGGCAAGGGGCAAGTCTTTGGAACTTCAAAACCTACCCCCAATAGCAACTTCCTGTAATGAGTCCACATTTCCTACTTCCCAAACAGTTCCACCAACTGAGGATCAAGATTTCAAACACACAAACAATGTGGTCCATTCTCATTCAAACCACATAAACACACACAAAAGAGACATGAAAGTAGGAAGGGGACCTCTCAGAAAAAAGAACAGTATCAGAGGAAGTGGAGAAAGAGAGGCAACGTGAGTGCAAATGACTAAAGCTCATTTGTGTGTGTGTGTGTGTGTGTGTGTGTGTGTGTGTGTGTGTGTGTGTTCAACTTGACAAAAGCTAAGGTCACCTGAGAGGAGGGAACCTCAATTAAGAAAATAGCTCCATAAGATAGAGCTGTAGGCAAACCTATAGGGCATTTCTTAAGTAGTGATGATTCGGGAGGGTCCAGTCTATTGTGGAAGGTTCTACCCCTGGGCTGGTGGTCCTGGGTTCTATAAGGAAGCAGATTGAGAAAGACATGAACTGTCAGTAAAGCAGCAATGTCCATGGCCTCAGCATCAGCTCTTGCCTCCAGGTTCCTGCCCTGTGTGGGTTCCTCTCCTGATTTCCTTTCATGATGAACAATGACAAGGAAATGTAAGTCAAATAAACCCTGTCCTCCTCAACTTGCTTTTTGGTTCATCATAGCAATAGAAACCCTAACTAAGACAATGTGTATGAAACTGTCAAAAAATAATTAAAAAAAAAACTTCAAATTATTGAGTCTTGTCTATATGAGCAAACAAAAACCAGTATAACAGTATATGAAATTAAAATGCAAAAGAAGCTAGCATAGGAAAATAGTTGTAACACAGATGACAAAAGGGTATACTTTAAAAAAACCTGCAAATGGCGCTCACTTCAGTAGCAGGCATTCTATAGCTGTGATAGACAGAAGATTAGCACGGCCCTGCCCAAGGATGATGGGCAAATCCATCAAGCCTTACATACTTCTATAAGGGAAATGTGCTCAATATTCACAATGGACTTTCAGCCATAAAGGAAAATCATGACATATGCAGGAAATGGATGGAATGGAACTAGTTTATCAGGTTAAGCAAATTAAACCAGACTCAGAACAACACATTCAGTATTTTTCTCTCCTGTCTAGAATCTAGATGTAGGTGCATATGTGCCATTTCTGAGACTGCAAACTAAGACTGAAAGGCTATTTACTACTCATGCACATATAATCTGTTACTGAAAATTAGCCAGAAATGTACTTGTTCAATTACTTAGTTTCCCCCAGTGTGAGACCATTTTTTAAAAGATTTATTTTTTATTTTATGTAGATACATGTATACACGCATGAGCCATGTGTGTGCTGTGGCCATGGAAACCAGGAGTCAGAGTTCATGGAACTAGAGTTATGGATAGCTATAGGCCACCCAAGTGGGTGCTGGGAATTGAACCTGGGTTCTCTGTAAGAGCAAGAAGTGCTCTTAACCACTGAGCCATCACCTCTCCAGACCAAGGGGATTTTTCTCTCTCGATTTCTTTTTCTTGTTTTTCCCTGCTAAAAACAAATGCTTACATGGAACTTTCAAAGTGCTAGACTGTAGAAGTTCTAGAGACTTGTTTCTGATTGAGAAAACACCAGAAGTGAAATTATACACAGAAGCACACAAGTTACCACCACATCGCTATTTTTAAAAGCATGATCTGAAACTCTCTAAAGTGAAGTCAAGACTTTTGATTTGAAAGTTTGACTGAGAATTTAAACCTGAGCTCCCTTTGAGTTCCTGTTTGTCTCAGAGGGCTGTTGAGGTGGAGGTACCCTGTGAGAACTATCCAATTCTGCACAGATGAGAGAATCCAATGGTTGCTACGGGCGAAGGATGCCCGTTAGGATGAGGGCAGCTAAGGCTACAATTGGCATGCATCAGACAACATCCTAGAACCAGAAAGCTCTGCAACTGGGATAAAAATATGCCACAGAGCAGCAGAAAAGGAGGTTGGGTGAGATTCTAGACTAGCTAATCCCAAAGTAGGGAAAAGCAACTCAGCTATAGGGTGGCCTTAGCTGACCCTATAACTTCCCAATGTAAACTCATGAGAGTGCTGAAAACTGCCATTGTCTTCCCCACTCTGAAGACTAGTTCCTAAGACAGTAAGTGGCAAAGTACCCTGGGCTCTTTCATACCCTAGTTCTGAGGTGTCCTTCTGGGGTGTGACAGGTGTGGTAAGGACATGGAAAACCCACCCGTTCTACTACATAAATGGAAAAGGTTTTCAGAATTTTACACAGCATATTCAGAAGGGGCACTATTTATCCATTCACCAGGGTTTGTTTCTTGCTTTGAATGTGCAGTTCCTGTTTATGGATATGGCTAGGAAATGGTTACTGAAAGAAAACAAAGTCCCTTGTCTGGAAATGTATTCCAGGAGATGAACAACAAGTATTATAGCTGGCGAAGTGTTTGGAGAAAAACTCAGCAGGACAAAGGGCTTAGAGAACGGACAGCAGATTGCTCTTCTGCAGGCGCCAAATGAAAAGACATTTAAACAAAGCAGAGATGAGGAGCAGAGACAGATACCAGGAGAGGGGGTGTTCCCAAGGCAGAGGAATTGGCAAATCTATGAGCCATGAGACGAGGCTTGGTGTATCCAAGGACTGCCAGGAGACCATTCGGATGAATGTGGAGGGGGATGCAGGGAAAAGCAGCAGAGGCCAGAGCACAGTGTGCTTTCATGGGCAGTGTAGAGAACTGGACTTCTACAGAGGCAGCTGACTATGGGAAAGGAAACCAGTTGAGGGCTGATGAAATCCAAGTGAGAGATCATGGTGTCTCAGCCCAGACCACTTCTGATCCCTACAGTGCTAACTAGTTGGATTCTAGGCATACATTAGAGATACAGCCAAGACAACTTATTCTCTACCCACTCTTTCAAGTGTAACAAGATTGAACCGGATCATTTGAGGATATATAGCCAATCCTATTAAGATTTGGGGGCTTGTCAACTCTCAAACATGTACTTAATGACTCCAGTGTGTGGCTAGTTTTCTAACAATTTGACACAAGCTAGAGTCATTTGAAACGGGGGGGGAAGGGGGACCTTTCAAATAGAAAATGCTACTCTAAGATCAGGTTATAAGCAGACCTGTTGGGCATCTTCTTAGTGATTGATGTGGGAGGGACCAGCCCATTGTGGGTGGTGGTACCCTGGTCCTGTGTTCTTTAAGAAAATCAGGCTGAGAAAACCATACGGAACAAGCCAGTGAGCAGCACCCCTCCATGGCCTCTGCATCAGCTCCCAGTACCCCCAGATTCCTGCCGACTTCCCTCAGTGATGGATTGTTACCTCAAAGTGTAAGATAAAATTAACCCTTTATACCCCAAGGGGCTTCCAGTCATGGCGTTTTATTGTCAAATAGAAACCGAACTAAAACACAATATTTTCACTGCTATTTGTGTAGCCTGTTTTTATATGTTCTAGATGAGGTCTAACAGGATGACCCTTGACCTTCTCTATCAGCTCTCATACTGAGCTTACTATCCATCTTCCATCATGTTTTCATGCACAAGTGCTGTTGCTGATTTTTGGTTTGATCTTCAGGCATAGTGCTTGCTCATCACCATTCCTAAGCACAAGGTAATCATGTGCCATGAGAAAAAAGCATTTACCCCCACTAATGCTGTTGGTTGGGCCTCTTAAAACTGTGCATAGTGCACACACCTGTTGTTACTTCAGCATGTAGAAAACTGAAGCAGTGCCGGGCGTTGGTGGCGCACACCTTTAATCACAACACTCGGGAGGCATAGGCAGGCGGATCTCTGTGAGTTCGAGGCCAGCCTGGTCTACAGAACCTGTTCCAGGATAGCCTCCAAAACAATACAGAGGAAACCCAGTCTCGAAAAAAAAACAAAAAAAACAAAAAAAAAAAGAAAGAAAGAAACAAAAAGAAAAGCCATCCAGGTGATTCTAGAGTGCAAAACTTACTTCTCCAACTTTAGCAAGCATAAGAATGCCAATCTTTGGCTTGTTAAATCAGGTGGGGAATCTTTGTGCTCAGTTGTCAGCTTTCCACACCCAAGACTCTAGATCCAGTGCCCTGGGGTGGATGCAAGTACGTGGACAACAGAATAGGGCTGGGCTCTAACTCCAGAGATTTGAATTCAGAAATCTGGGGTGTAAACACCCCAATTTCTAACCCTGTATCTATTCTTGCTGGTAGTCCAGGAACCACATTTTTAACAACTGCACTCCATTACTTCTGCCAAGTCACAGAACCCCAAGTGGACAGGCTGAGCCAAACCTAGCAACGAGCCACCTTCAACCTCACTGCAGCAGCTCTTCCTTGTGGGTCTCACTTCTCAGGCTGGATCTCCTCCCACAGCATCTTCTATGAAGCTGGGGACGACTGTGGGCAGCCTCAGTCCCAGTGTCAGAACTCTCAGCATTGCTTACAGACACAGTCACAGCCAATTCTGGCCCTGCTCAATCTGACTGATCAGTTTCAAACCAAGCTCTGGAGACAGCAGGTGACCTGTCTACTTTGTGATCTAGGTAAGCCACAGTATACATACCTCACAAAAAGAAGGCAATAATCACCCTAGCAACCCTGATGTCCTTTTGTTTACTCATTTCTAGTGATGTGTGTATCTGTGTGTCAGTATGTGCATGCCCCCAGGAGATTAAGTTGTGGTTGTGACCCACCCAATATGGGTGCTGGGAACAGGTCTTCTGTAAGAGCAGTGTGTGCACCCTTAATGACTGAGCTATCTCTCTCCAGCCACAACTGTGGTATATTCAACAATTATTGCTACAGAGAAATTTTTCCTTCACCATAACCAATCTTTCCAAGTTTTATTCCAAAAAATTATGTGTTGAGATTAAGATGTCTATAAAGATGTCCATCATTACAATAAAGCATCCAACTGGACAGAAACAACAAGGACCCAATTCAGTATGTAATGTCCTATTTCCCCGATGAGCAAGTTTGAGAAGAAAAAACAACAAAAAAATCTTTCCGGGGTGGAAGGCCAGGACAGCTTCTAACTGAATTGGAGCCTCTACGGAGCTGTAAAATCCACAATTTTGTCTATTTGTCCTTTTCCTTCTGTTCTTTTTCCTTCTTCTCCCGCTCTGCTTTAGCTTCCTCCTCCTCATGCTTTTTGATCAACTGTTCTACTTCCTTCTGCTTGAGGACTCTGATCATGGTCTTTCCATTCTCTCTTGTTAGTGTGGCGATTTCCACTAGAAACACAAACACACACTGGTGTCAGAGGCAGAAGCACTCAGTAAACAGACGTCAGTATGGCTTACTCTCTCTCTTTCCCCTAGTCTTGGCCTTTGTCTAGATTTCCCATGTTTTACTCTTAATGATACACTCACATTTTTATGGGACCAAAATACCTTTGATCTTGTGATACTCTGACTACTGTTTTACCTAAAGATCTTTTCTTTACCCAGTAACTTTCTTAGCAACCATTTGTGTCACTCAGTGAAGCAGGGTCAACAGTTGTTCTGACCCACAAGCTGTGTTGATCAAAAGGAACAAGCAAGGATATTCAAACAAACACTTCTCAATGGTCTTTCTAATTTCTTTTTAAAACACTGACCTAAAAAGCATTCCCTCAGATATGGTGGTGCATACCCTAATCCCATCACTCTGGAGGAACAGGCAGGGATCACTGCTAGCTTAAGGCCACCTTTGGTTTAACAGTGAGGCCAAGGCCAGTCAGAAGTACAGGATCTCCAAACGAGCACATTCAGGCTCAAATCCTTAAATCTGCGCTATGGTAAGGACTGTGGCTCTACAATTCATCAAGGCTGATCTTAGTCATTTAAGAGCATGGAGTCCCCAGTGTCCCCTAAGGTGGCTGCTTCAATGAACTAAAAACGCATTAAAGACCTAAGGCTATAGCTACTCAATGAGTCCCCTCACTTGATTAGACAAACCAGAGGACATGGATTACCTTTCTCAGCTGACAGCTTACTGACATCCATTGTCTTATTTAGCACCTTGATAGCAAGAGCAAGTGCTGACTTCAGAGTCATTTCTCCTTCTTTGTAGTCTTGTTTCAACATTGACACAGCTGCCTAAAAAAACAAACAAACAAAAAACCAAAACAAAAAAGAATCAACACAGAGTTTCCTTCCAACCTGTGCATTTGAAGGGAGAATATAAATTGGTCTGGAAATTCAATTGCCTGAATTCATATTGGCATTGCAACCAATATGCAACAATCTTGACAGCAGGGGAGGATGACACAAGATGAGGAAGGGAAGAGGGAGACAATGTCCTGAAGGGTCCTTACCCTGGGGCCTCGGTCCCAAGAGAATCATCCTTAAGAGTTCAGGTGTGAATTAATACACGAGAAAAAAAAATGTTTCTACAACTTATAGCTGAAAACTAGCTCTTAGCTACAAATATCATCAACCAACTCCAGCATATAGCAGCAGACATCACAGGTGTTTCCTCCACATTGAGGCTGTTGTGAAATTGTTTTAATAAATGCTATGTTAAACACTCTTACTTAAACTAAACACTCTTAAACTCATCGCTATTTCAATATTACAGGTCTTCTTACCCTTTTGCTGAAATTTACAATGTCACAAAAACACTCACAGCACTGTTGTTTCCAATACATGTGGCTTTCCATCCTCCGTAATTTCCACTTGGGTCACTCTGATACAGCTGAAAGCCATAGTGCTTATCCCAGCCAATGTACAGCAAAGAAACACCAAAGGGGCGCTTTCCTTTAACAAAGAAAAAAAAATCAATCTAAATTTTAAAAACCAACAATCTCAATTTAGAGCTGTTAGTGGATTTGGCCCAAGCCTGTCTGTGAAGTTAAGCATGCATACATTGTTTTGTGCTCTGGCCACCACAGAAGGCCAGTGCTGAATTTCATTATTACGTAAAAAGAATCTGTTTCCAGACTTGAAAACGTTACTTTGGCTGTGCAGCATCCTGCCGTTACATGTGGAAGCAGATTTGTTCATGCAGCAGGCGCTATCGGTACCCCAGTGTTCAGGAGGCCGTGAGCTCCAGGTAAGTCTAGGCTACACTGTGTGATGTCTCACAAGCAAAACCAAGGGAGGAGAATAAGAGACTTCAGAGTGCTTAGTTCTAAATGGGACAGCTATATCACTCCTCCAACACCCAGGGATCACGGAAGAAGAAGAAACAGGATACTGTAAGAGTCACAGGTGGTGGATGGCAGGAGAGTGCTTTCCAGATACAACAGGGCAGTCACAAATATGAGCTCAAAGCACATGTGACAACATGCCCGAGACGCACACCAGACAAAACCCCAGCACAGAGGGAAGGTAGGCATGACGTCCCACCTCCAGCTGATGAGTTCCTAGCAGTTGGTAGCTTCTGGGAGGGTAAGTGAGTTTTTTATGGGTGTGACCCTTGGTAGAGTGACAGACCAAGTGTAGATCCCATAGTCAAGAGCATTTATTTAGCACAAATTGAACTGCAGGGTTTAAAAGAAGGAAGTGGGGAGGAACAAAAGAACATGAAGTTGGGTGGGTTGAGAGTGAGGGACAGATGTGGAAGGAAATGGTGGGTGAATACTTTCAAAATCCATTGTATGAAATTCTCCGAGAATAAAAATGTATTTTAGAACCTCCAAACCAAAAAGAAACCTAACAAAAACAAAGTAACAACCTCAAAAAACCTTAATGCAAAACAAAACAAAGCAAAAAGTTTATTCCTTATAAAATGTTTTAAGTATTCAGAGTATTTCCAAAGAAACTCAGTACCTCCAAACTGTGTATAAGCCTGTTTGATATCGCACAATGCTGTAACCAACTGTTCACATGGAATTGGCTCCTGGTACTGCAATAAATACCTAAGGTAAAGAGATTGACATATTAACAGGCTTCTTGAAAATATATACAATGCAAGGAAATGCCCTCTGAAAAGAAATACATATAATGGGAGTTAATGGAGCATCATTTATAATTTGAAGAGGAAGGAGAAGGTAAAAACATCAGCATCCTAGTATTCTACAGTATACACAGTATTTTATAAGTTTGATTAGGAAGAATATACTGTTCAATTAATGAATTTTTAAAACAACTTTAAACTCTGCAAAAGCAAGCTTTCCTTAGAGACATCTGACCCATGAGCTGTGTGTTACATTATTTCCATCCATACCTTTGGGCAATGAGCCTTAGTTCATTAGTCAGAACGTTAGCATCAGACGTGATGCCTGCCACGCTGCAAGCCATGTCCCTTGAAGGAAAAAAAAAAAGACAATGTAAGAGGGAAAGATGCTCACTAGAGCATTTCTAAGTGTTAGGAAGTATCTATTAGGTATTCACCAAGTTTGTTTCACAGGACTACCCTCTCAGGGAAAAGCCTATAAAGTATGATCTTCTCAGGAGAAGATCTAATGTCACTAACGTTACCTAATGTCACTCAGCACAAATGATAAACAAATGCAGTCTCAATTTTTCAACAGATATATTTATAATTGGCTCTCTGGAAACAGGACAAGAAAGGAACACTAAGTAGCTAAAGTAAATAAAGGAACCAAAGAAAAAGGCTTTGTGGGTAGACAGACCACTTGCACACTTTGGAGTGTAACTCCCAATGCCTGGCCTGACAGGGGTAGGGATGAGGGGACACAAGAGTGGGGGAGTTCCCAGGTTGCCTAGGCATGCACTCCCTTTTCTGCCTCTTCCCCAAAGCTTTCCCTGGCTCTCTACAGTCTAGGAATCCACTGTGACTATGCCTAGACAAGCCCACAAGTTATTGAGTAGAGTCTAAAAAGGTACTATGTCAAGTGAGTGTGCCAAAAGGCCACATGGGAGGTATTAGGCCCAAGCAGGGAATGTATTTCTGATGACTATTTAACCTGACACAGAACCCAACTGCGTTCTAAACACCTATACCTTTACTCTTAAACAAAAGTGGATCCCAGCCTTAATCAGAGAAGCCTCAACTTACAATGAATGCTGGCAAGTGCGGAGACTCATGGTGCCCACGATACAGGAGATAAGTGGCAGTTGTGGGACAGCTCTAAAGGCACTTAGACCACTCCCTCTCTAAGGCATATGGGAAAGAGTAGAAAGAGGACGAGACGGGTTGCAAAGCAGCACTCTCCAGACTAGACTGAAACCATGGATTCACAACTGCCTTGGGCACAGGCAAGCCCAGCTGTTGAGGGATTTTGCACACTATGAAGATGTGTTACTGTGGCTGGTGTAATAAAGAGCTGAACGGCCAATAGCGAGGCAGGAGGTGTAGGCGGGGATTTCCAAGGAGACCCCAGGAGAGATGGAGAGGAAACAAGAGGTGCAAGATGGAAGAGAATTAACACCACGTGACAGAATGTAGACTAATATAAATGGGGTACTTTAAGTTACAGGAGCTAGTTAGGAACAAGCCTAAGCTGTAGGCCAAGCTTCCATAATTAATAAGAAGTCTCTGTGTCATTATTTGGGATCTGGCTGGTGGGACAGACTTGCTACAACCTTACCAATAATCAGTCAAAAGGGGGCTCATAGAACCCTACCTTTATATTGGAACTCATGGTTATTGAGATTCTGGAAAAGGAAGAATCACTGTCCTTGGTTATATACCCACTGCTGAGCCCACCAGACAGTTCTCAATCCATGATCACACGGGTAGTCATGGTAATGTCAGTGAATCAAAACGGACAGACATAAATGTAAGAAAGAGATTGTGGGGAGGGAGAAGGAAGACAGGAATGCCAGGGATAGGATGTGAGAGTGGTCAGAATGCATGGAATTGTAATAAGTAACTAGATACGCCCCAGTGACAAGTATTCATCAGGCCTACCCGAGGCAAAGTCTCTATGCAGCACAGCCAGACCCTCCACTAACAACAAAATTCCAAGTACTCAAACTGAACAGAAACTAGACTGTACTGTGCCTGGATCTCCAGACACCTTGTTCTCTGGTAAAGCGTCAGTATAATCCCACAGAATTCCTATACAGTCAGTCATTCTAACCAATGCCTTTAGAGCCTGCTTTATGCTAGGCATTGCGTTAGTTTATCTCACTCATTTATTGTTTTCATCAGATTTCTACAACCACTCTGAGTTCCCAAGAGTTAAATAACTGGTGCAACAGCACATTTTGTACTGACTGACTTTGAATTTTAAACCAAATTTGTGTGACTAGTAAGTTCATGTCTTTATCACTGCACAACACTACTTTGCACTAAGTGTTTAGCTTTGCACTCAAAGTGAACTACATACATACTGGACATCCCGAGACACAGCACAATAAATGGGCTTCAAGGAGGCTTCAAGAAAAATAAAGCAAACACACAAATTTTCACAAGAAAAAAATAAACCTCTTCAATTCTATCTCACATAGAAGACTCCTTTCCCTATTTGCAAATCCCACTTATGTTGAAAAGTAAAATAGTTCGAACTCTTCCCCAAGACCTCACTTACTCATTAAGTTTATAAATTTTTTCAGAAAAAAAGACTTCGTCAAGAAGTTTGTGGATGTTGCGCCTCTCTGCTGCAAGAAGAACTCCATCATTGGCTAAAATCCCCAGACAGGTGCCCGCATGTCCAATGGCTTCCATGGCGTACTCCACTTGGTACAAACGACCTACAAAACAGTGAAACACCAACATCCCTCTGTGCTCTTATACCACCAGTCCAAGAGAAACAGTCAACAGCCCTACTTTTACCATTCAACGACGTTTGCTGTGATCAACCTAGTGAGAACGGTTATTTCAAAATACAAAAGAATGAACACCAAAATACACGTGAGGCTCCCCCCACATTAAAATCATAACATTTAAAAAAAAAAAACAGAAAATTTCTTTGGAGCAGGTTAAATTTTCTAATTTACCTTCTGGAGAAAATATTGTGGTCCTGGAGTCATATCTTCGAGACTACAAAGGAAAAACAGAGATGTTGCCTATGGTTGAAATAAGCCAACTTCTGGAAGCCCACAAACCCACAGCTGCATCCTGGTGCTGAGTTCAGTGGAGAAAGGCAGACAGCGTTCCACTCCCCAACCTGCTTCTGCTTCCCGTCTCAAGTCAGTCTGACAGCTGCCAACAAGCCATAGCCGTCAGCAGGCAAAAGTTAAATGAAATGTATCATCAACTCACCATGGCTTCTGAACTTTATGTAACTCCTGCGAAAAGAAAATAGGATCATTAAAATAAATAATCATAATTTAAGAAGTATCTTCCACCTTTTAAGCTGTTCGATCCACACCATCATGCAACTAACACATGTACCAGGCAACCGTCAGGAACGATATATACTAGATGCCAGAACACTACAATAAAGGTGAAAGTCAAGTCTGAAGAACTTGGAATCTAGCAGCTGGAGCAGAGGGACAGAGATTATAAAGTAACTGGAAGAGGGCGGGGTGGGAAAGGGGGATGGACAACAGTAAGTTTTTGAGAAACAAACAGAGAATGAGAGTAAACCAAATGGGCAAGGCAAAAATAAGTTGAAAAGCCTCAAGTCGAAGAAGAAAAATTGGGGAAGAGTGAAGGAAGGACATTCCAAGTAGAGCAGGCTGAGAAAAGGTCAACAGATAAGGGACAAATTGCTTAAACTGATATGGTCCTAAATTTGGGGGTGTAGGGGCAGGTGGTAAACCTCACTTCTTCGACAGAGTGCAATAGAAGCTCTGTCTTAGTGGGAAAATGACACCCCAGAGTCCAATTCCTATATTGCCAGATAATGGGGTATGAGGCTGGAAAGCCAAACAGAAGGGTCTGCGTGCTCAGGTGCAAAGTGAACTTTATCTCTTATTCATGACGGCTCCATCGAATGACTGGGCGCAAGGACCATAGGAACTGGTTGGTTGACGTTATAAAGTCGTCAGGTCGAAGAGAGGCTGAGGGCAAGCTAACCTGCCGGGAGTCGACTCCAACATGCAGGAAAAACAGAAAGGTGGCCCCGAGCAGGGCAGCCAGGCCACGGCGGGTTTCGGATTAGGCTGTGAACACAGCTACCTCCACGCCTGGCGCCGGCGCCACTTTGGACTTCTCCCCGCAGCTCCACTTTCCCGAAAGGACTCGCAGGGCCGCAAGCCGCCCCTACCCCTCGCATCCACCCGGTGGGTCCCAGAGCCCGGGCCCGCCACCCAGGCCGCGCCGGGATGCCCGACGGCGGCCGGCGGGGGCCAGTCCCTGGCAGGCCGGTCACCGAGGAGGCGGGTGCAAAGTCATCGTACCCGCGGCTCCTCGGCGGCGGCCGCGGGCCTGGGCCGTGGTCTCCACGCAGATGGCCCCCGCCCAGGGGACAGCGACCTCGCTTCCGCGGGCCCTCGGGGACTGAGCCTCACCGGAGGAAGACAGTGAGGGGTGCAGATCAGCGCCGCTTTACTCAGCTGGAGAAGCACCAACCCGGATGGCCAAGCACCCGCCACAAATATGGCTCCCGAGCGTGCGCAGAACTGCCAGGGGGGCGGGACGCCGAGGACGCGGAAGTCCTCCTGGTCGGGGGGCGGGGACCGTCCGCCCACGTGGACAGTGGAGGCGCACTACCTCGGTTTTAGGATTGGGTCGGTGGTAGAGGAGGTGAATTGGAGGAAGGAGTTCCTAGTCTGCGGAAAGTGGATCAGATTCCTCGTACACTTTGCGTCCCACTTTCACTTTCTCTTCTGTACCATTAACGAAGCCCAGAGTAGCAACTGTGGACAGAACCAAATCGCTTACTTTTCCTGCCGTGGCCCTTAACAGTTTTCTCTTCGTCCTTCTCTTTAGCCTCATATTTTCCTTCCTCATATCCTGCTTGGGAAAATTCATCTTCATCCATCTCTTCTTTCTTCCTTTCTTCCTTTCTTCCTCTCTCTCTCTCTCTCTCTCTCTCTCTCTCTCTCTCTCTCTCTCTCTCTCTCTCTCTCTCTCTCTCTCTCTCTCTCTCTCTCTCTCTCTCCCTCTCTCTCTCCTCTCTCTCTCCCTCTCTCTCTCTCCCTCTCTCTCTCTCCCTCTCTCTCTCTCTCTCTCTCTCTCTCTCTCTCCCTCTCTCTCCCTCTCTCTCTCTCTCTCTCTCTCTCCCTCTCTCTCCCTCTCTCTCCCTCCTTCTCTCTTTTTGGTTTTTTGAGACAGGGTTTCTCTGTGGCTTTGGAGCCTGTCCTGGAACTCGCTCTTGTAGAGCAGGCTGGTCCCGAACTTACAGAGATCCACCTGACTCTGCCTCCTGAGTGCTGTGATTAAAGGTGTGCGCCACCACCGCCCAGCCCATCTCTTCTTTCTTATCTTACCTGGTTTCTGTGCCTATGTTGGGGTTTGAAGAACTGGTGGGTTGACCGTGCTTGGTTTAATATTATAGTCATCTTAGCCCACTGGACATGGCCTTTATCTTCTGTGTGAGATGCAAAAGTATTTGGATCTGGGTTTTTTAAAGGGGGAAGCTTAGAAATTAGTGACATGTAGGCTGGCCCTGACCAGTACTGAGGAGGCAGCGGAGGAGTGTTCTTGCAAGTTCAGGGCCAAGCTGGTTTGCCCTGTGAATTCCAAGCCAGTCAAGGCTACATAGGAAGACTGTCTCAAAAATGAGAGAAACAAAACAACAAAGAATAAAATATCCATACAATGTAGTATATATTTAATATCATTACAGAAATCAGCAATATTTGCATTAGGAATTTAGTAAAGGGAATCCCTGTTAGCAAGTACAATCAAGAGAGAACCCTGAAGGGTTCCTCTGTATAACAGGAGGAACGCTGATCTGGAGTGAAATTGAAGTTTCAGTCCATTTTTCTGGTCCCTAGTTTCTTGATTAGCCAAGTTAAACAAAAACCTTAAATGTGAGAATCTTAAGTATTTCACATGTGAACCATCTCATTTGTGTGTGTGTGTGTGTGTGTGTGTGTGTGTGTGTATAAGAAAAGGAAAGCAAGCTGGGCATTGGTGGCGCTGCCTTTAATCCCAGCACTCGGGAGGCAGAGGCAGGTGGATGTCTGTGAGTTCGAGGACAGCCTGGTCTACAGAGTGACCAGGCTCCAAAACAATACAGAGAGACTCTGTCTTGAAAAAAAAAAAAGAAAGAAAGAAAGAAAAGGAAAGCAGAGGCAGAAGAAGCAGTGTGGGGCTATATAGTGATTAGGAGCAGAGGTCACAGCCCAGACACCTAATTTAAGATCTAAACCCAAGCTCTCTTCTGAGTCAATTAATTCAGCTTTTAAAGGCTCTATTCCTTTCTTCCTTCCTTCCTTTTTTTTTTCTTCTCAAGACAGGATTTCTCTGTGTAACAGCCCTGGCTGTCCTATAACTTGCTTTGTAGACTGGGCTGGCCTTGAACTCACTGAGATCCACCTGCCTCTGCCTCCCAAGTGCTGGGATTAAAGGCGTGTGCCACCACCAGGTTAAGGGTCTATTTCTTTATCTAAAAATGGAGATTAATAATCAGAATATTTATATGAGTCTGCTCTGGATTAAATAACATTCAATAAACATTGGGTTATAGTATATCTAAAAGAATTAATGAAGCAGGAAAGACAGGGCTGCTCCAGATTGCTGACCTAAAGTCCTGATTTGTTAAAGCAGCAGGGTTCAGTGACTGAATATGAGAAAGGCAAGCAGCATGTCACACCATTATTTTGAGCTTGGGTAACCCATTATTACTTAGTAACAATTTATTGTGCTGCCACTATGTGCCAGAGTCTATGCTAAGAGGTTACCATGATCCCTTATGAAACCCTCACAACTGACACTCTGGGATAGGTACAACCATTATCTTGATTTTACAAAAAGGAAATAGAGACACTGAGAAGTTAAAAATGAATCCTACAAGTTACCTTGGAGAAATGCCTAGTTTGGGAAATTTAGGCAGGTAGATAGGCAGGCAGACAGACAGACAAGCAGTTTTGGTATCAGGGCCTACTCACATAGAATACTGACAATGTGAGTGAATAACCAGGGTTCTGGACCTGAGCCATCTGTAGAAAGTGTGTGGGTAAACCACAAGAATGGACGAGTGTGATGCACATGCCTACAGTCCCAGCTACTTGGTTGCATGAGGCATGATTATCACTTGAGCCCAGGAGTTTGCATGCTTAATTCCAGTACAGACAACACAGTGGAATCCAGTCTTAAAACAGAAAAAAAGCCCACTCAACAAGAATAAGTAAATAGCTACTTACATTAAAGAGACATGAAAAGGAATCAGTAAAGGAAATACTGGGGTAAAACTTAAGACAAATATGCAATGGTCTTCATTTCACTAACTTCACAGATTCCTATAAAAAAGGCAATCAGGTATAGAGTATGAAGAACATCTGGTATAGGGCTATGGCCCCACACTGGGAGGCTGCACTGGAGGACTGTGGGAACCAATGAGTTGAAGACCAGAGTGAGCAGTGTAGTGAGCCCCTACCTGCTGAAGAACCTGGCTGATGTCAGGGCTAATGACCTTGCCTGGATGTCTACCTTTGCTTCCATGAAGTTCCACTGCTGTCTAATGTCTGTCTCTGGAGTTCCAGTTGAGCTACTCTCTCCATGTTCTTAAATGTTTTTCTCATGATTCCTACCCATGTTTTCCCATCTTTCCTTTTACATGCATTCATTTTATAAATGTGTCCAGAGACTTTTCTGTGGGAAAGGCACTATCACAGGTGCAAGAAGAGACACACAGACACGCGTTCTCATGGTCTGTCCCATGGTCAAATTTACAGGCTAGATAACTGCACAACCATGAGCAGGTGAGACAGTGAAATGCCATGAAAAAGACAGAATGCAATGGATTCTAGAGATGTGAGGTCAGAAAAGAGCACATAGAATTAATGTTATGTAGGCTAGGTGGTTAAAATATATATAGTATGTGAATAACTATATGCATTATTCTTTTTGCAATTTAAAAGTTGTTGATTTAAGGACTGGAATAGACTTTGAGACACTGATTACAAATCACACATCATCATATGTGGTTCTTAGAAACAAGACCTGCAGAAAGACATGCTTAGTTGTGCATGTGTTTTCCTTTTCTGTAATGCTGAGGGTGAGCCCAGGGCTTTGCACACTAGAAAAGTGTCCTTAATGTAGTACTTTCTTAAGAGTAAACTGTGGTCCAAAGATTGCTGTAAAAACTAGACCTGTTTTTGCCTCTTCATATTTAGAGTGGGTCTGTTTTACCATTTCATTTTTAATCTGCAAGAAAATTCTTCATGAATTTGATCTGAATCATAACTGAGTTTTGATTACCAAGGAAATACAAATTTTTCCTGGTCACATAGAGATCCTAGACTCATAGGACTTGGCAGTTTCAAACCAGATTTCCTCTACTGCCTTCTGGCCCATGTCGAACAGCTGCTGTAGATGCTTCCATCCAGTCTTCGCTGTAATCATGAGGTACTCTTTGTTCTCTGGGTACAGCTGGCAGGAGTGTGCAGCCATGACAAGTGACTGACTAAATCGACTGCATACAAGCAAAAATAAAGCACTCCTTTCCACAGCGGTCAGAGGGATCACACTTTCAAACCCTGCGAGGATGTGACCTCCTACTTGTATAGGATCCGTGCTTTCAATCATCATGTACATGATGGTGATTGCCACTTCAAACACATAGTAGCCATAGCTCATGTCACCGAAGTCTAAAATCCCAGAGACTTGATACACGGCATCTCCAGAGGCTGACTTGTTGCAGTCTACTAAGATGTTATGGTCGTTAAGATCACCATGATTGATACCTAAAATTAGAAAAATCATGTTAAAAATTAATAGCAACTCATTCTCTTTCTGTCTAAAGAAAAGCCATCTAATTTGATGAGCAAATATAAGAGATAAAAGAACAAACTATTCTCTTAAAGCCATTTTCCCTGGAAAGGACACTGGCAGAGTTTTGGCTCCTTTGCTCTTGCTTCTCACCAGTGCAGAGGTGGAGACTGTAGTATTTACAAACACCCAAACTGGAGAACTGCTCAAAAGGGGATGTTCAAAAGGAACAGAATCTCATTCATATCATTATAGGAAGGAGAGTCTTACATGGAACACACGTACCTTTATTTATATCTAGGCTTAACAAGTTCTGATAGGCCTGGTATGATGATGCACACCTTTTGTCCCAGACTCAGGAGGCAGAGGCAGGCAAATCTCTGTAAGTTCAAGACCAGCCTGGTCTACATAGAGAATTCTAGGCTAGCCAGGGCTAGAGAGAGAGAGAGAGAGAGAGACAGAGACAGAGACAGAGACAGAGAGAGACAGAGACACAGAAAGAGAGACACACAGAGACAAAGAGAAAAAGAAAGACCCTGTTTCAAAATCAAAACTAAACCAGAAACTGAGAGTGTTTAGAAAATGTTATAGCAGGTTGGAGAGATGGCTCAGTGGTTAAGATCACTGGCTGCTCTTCTAAAGGTCCTGAGTTCAACTCCCCACACCCATATGGTGGCTCATAAACATCCGTAATTCAATCTGGTGCCCTCTTCTGCCCTGCAGGTAGAACAATGTATACATAATAAATAAATAAATCTTAAAAACAAACAAATATTTAAACAAACAAAAAAGAAAATGTTATAGCAACTTGACATCCAAGAGCATGATATATGGCCTTGCCTGGTTGGTCAGAGAATAGATCAAGTGGAGTTATGTCTAGTGTAGTTAGTTGCATTTGGTACAAGCTATGAACCAAGCATGCCCAGTAGATCCATACATCAAATTGTAATAGGTTGGGAGAAAAGAAAACCCCAAACTTGTCTTTGTCACTGGCAATCTGAAAAATACCGATTTAAACTACTGTCTAGAATTCAGACACTATTAGTTTGTTCACAAGCAACAAACCACTGACAGTCACATATCTTATAATAACTAGGTGATATAGAACATGTCTTTTTAACTTATAAACTTATTCTTGAAGCAGGATCTGACTCGGTAGCCCAAACTGATCTATATCTCATCACAAACTTTCTGTCTCAGTCTCCCATGTGCGGGGAGTAGAGGTGTGAGCCACCATGCTCAGCTTAACTTCTATATGATTAGGTTGTCTAAATTATGCTTAATTAATTTGTACCACAGTGAGTGATACCAACGAACATAATTGTAAATCATACATTTTAAATTATGCATTTCTGAAACAGGAATGTAGCATAGAGTTAATTCAAAATATATACAGCAAAATTAGACAGAAATACAAGGAAAAAACAGAAAATACACATCTCAGTAGGAGATTAAAGTATGCTTTACTCAGTTGTTAGAACAAAGTTATCACTAAAAGATATGGAAAATTTCAACAACATGTTTGACAAACTAATTTTTACAAAAATGTAACAAAAATCACATCATAAAGATTTGAGTATTAGCCGGGCGTTGGTGGCGCACGCCTTTAATCCCAGCACTCGGGAGGCAGAGGCAGGCGGATCTCTGTGAGTTCAAGGCCAGCCTGGTCTACAGAGTGAGTTCCAGGACAGCCTCCAAAACAATACAGAGAAACCCTGTCTCAAAAAACCAAAAAAAAAAAAAAAGATTTGAGTATTAGAAAATAAATGTCAATGACTGAGATCATAAAGACCTGTACTGTTCAAACTCATAGCTACTAACCATAGGTGGCTACTCCAATTCATTAAGAATTGAGGCTGGAGAGATGGCTCTTCCGGAGAACCTGGGTTCAATTCCCAGCATCCACATGGCAGCTCATAACTGTAACTCCAGTTTCAGGAAATCTAATACTCTCATACAGACATATATACAGACAATACCAATGCACATGAAATAAGACCAAATAATCATTAAAAAAATTAAATTATATGGAATGGCCCAGTTCCTTTGTTGCACAAGTCATATTTCAAGTATTCACTAGTCACATGATAACTGTTTCACTGGAAAATACAGATACACAACATTTACTTTATGGAATCCTATTGGACAACAGTGATAAAGAGTATGTTTCATTTTTGTTGTTTGTTTGGAACAGAGTCTCTCTACGTAGTCCTTGCTGTCCTAGAATTCTCTATGTTGATCAGGCTGGCCTCAAAATCACATAGATCCTCCTGCCTTTGCCTCCCAAGTGCTCAGATTAAAGGTGTATGCCACCATGCCTGGCTAATGTATGTTTCTTAACCAAAATGCAATTACAGCAGAACTCAACAATGAAATGATAACTAAAAAGTTCCTCGTATTATGGAGGAAATAATCTATATCTCTAAATATGATGAAAAGAAGATAGTGTAAAATGAGTTACAAAATATCTAAAACTAAATGAAAATTTGTACTAGGACTTGGTGTGCAATTTCTCTTATAGCTGTAGATAGCTATACTTCCAAAAACAGTGCTTCAAATAGTAGCTGGCTAAGACATCTAGGCAAGCTGACGAGAACAGGTTCAGCAATAATGGAGAGCACATAATGGTAGCAGCACCAAACAAACAGAAACAATAAGAGACAAAGCAGGAGGAATAATCTAATACCACCTCCCTGCTTGGACAGAAAATGAGTCAAATAAAAACTGACTCCCACATTTTCTAATTTAAAAGCAATAAAACTGACTACTACAGGGTACAAGGTTCCTCATTGAGGAAATGAAATGTTCTAAAATTAGATACTCAGTGCCTGCACAACCCAATGGATAGATAAAATCATGGAATTTTAAAAGTAAATGGATACATTGTGTCTTCTGTGAGTTATATCCTAATTAAGCTGTAAAATAATAATGGGATATATTATCTTCAATTAAAAAAACTAACAACATATTCTTTGATAAATAATAAATATCTCAGAACAGAATAAATTTTGTTTTGCTTTTTTTTTTTTTTTTTTTGGTTTTTCGAGACAGGGTTTCTCTGTGGCTTTGGAGGCTGTCCTGGAAGTCGCTCTGTAGACCAGGCTGGCCTCGAACTCACAGAGATCCGCCTGCCTCTGCCTCCCGAGTGCTGGGATTAAAGGCGTGCGCCACCAACGCCCGGCCTTGTTTTGCTTTTTGAAACATGCTCTTGCCATGTATCCCAGGCTAGCTTCAAATTCCCTATCTATCTTCCCATCTCAGCCTTTCAAGGGCTGGGATTGTGCCCTGTCCCACTATCCCTAGTTGGAATAGGTTTTTATAAAATCTTAAGTCAAATAGTACCTTTTCCCAAACAAACAAACTTTAAATTTGAATATCAGAAAAAGAAAGAACTGGTCATGGTAGAGCACTGGAACACAGGCAGATGGGTCTCCATGAGCTTGATAGGAGTAATTTAAGATGCAATAAAGAGCCGGGCGGTGGTGGGGCATGCCTTTAATCTCAGCACTCTGGAGGCAAAGGCAGGCAGATCTCTGTGAGTTCGAGGCTGGGCTGGACCGACAGCCTCCAAAACAATACAGAGAAACCCTGTCTCGTAAAAACCAAAAAAAAAAAAAAAAAAAAAAAAAAAGATGCAATAAAGAGGGGGCCTTGAAAATGCCCTTCCCCAAAGGATGGATCTGTGATAAGAACTACTGGAAAAATCCAAGAAAGGCTAGTAATCTGCATTCAGAACAAAAGGACAGATATCACTAAAGACCTGATGGTATTAGAAAATAAGTAAGTAGGTTGGAAAAATGGCTCAGGGGCCAAGGACACTGGCTGCTCTTCCAGTGACCCCAGGTTCCATTCCCAGCACCCACATGGTAGCTCCCAACTGGTTACAACTCCAGTTTCAGAGGATCAACTATCCTCTTCTGGTTTTCTTGGGGACTGCATGCATGTAGTACACAGACATATACGTAAGCAAAACACTTATACATATAAAGTAAAAATAAAATCTAAAAAAGTAGGTAATAATAAATACAATTTTAAAAATATGTTAAAAGCAAGCCGGGTGTTGGTGGCGCACGCCTTTAATCCCAGCACTCGGGAGGCAGAGGCAGGCGGATCTCTGTGAGTTCGAGGCCAGCCTGGTCTACAGAGCGAGTTCCAGGACAGCCTCCAAAGCCACAGAGAAACCCTGTCTCGAGAAACCAAAATAAATAAATAAATATGGCAAAATCAGTCGGGTGGTGGTGGTGCACACCTTTAATCACAGCACTTGGGATGCAGAGGCAGGCGGATCTCTGTGAGTTCAAGACCAGTCTGGTCTACAAGATCTAGTTCCAGGACAGCCTCCAAAGCCACAGAGAAACTCTGTCTCGAAAAACAAAACAAAACAATATTTGTTTTGTTTTATGGCAAAATCTAAATAGTCATATATATATATATACATATATATATAAAGTCATATATATGTATACATATATATGGAATCAAATTGCTAATTTTAATAATTTCTGGGACTTTTTGTTTGAGACAAGGACTCATGTAGCTAAGCTGGTCTTGAACTAGATATACAGCTGAAGATAAGCCCAAACTCCATATCCTTTTGCCTTTACCGCTCAAGTGCTAGGATTACAGGTGGGTGTCATCAAGCTCAGTTTGCTAATTTTAATACTTCCCTAAAGAAAGATACAGTACTAAATTGACTCAGTGGAAAATTACTTTAAGTAGTACAAAAAGAAAATGTTGTCATATATATTAAATTTGTATTTGAGAGTGTGTACACCACACATGTGTAGGTGAATGCACAGGCCAGAAGAGGGCAGTGGATTTCCTGGAGCTTGAGCAACAAGATGTTGTGAGCCACCTACCAGCAAGTGCTCTTAATAGCTGAGCCATCTTGCCAGACCTACTCTAACCTTATAATCACTAAGATAGAAAGACTCCTTAAATAATTTGTAAGTCTAAGCCCATACAAGGATATTATAAAGGGAAAATGGTAAGGAGATGTTTTTTAGGAATGTAGATGTGAGCCATAATAAAAGATTAGCAAACTGAAATAGATAATATATAATAAAAAGAGAGAAATGGAAACACTTCAATGACCATATTGGTTTAAATTAGGAATGCAATGTTGATTGAATGTTACATACAACTAAAATAATTTGACACAATTACAGATGTAAGGAGAAATAGGCATCCATTTTTATATAGATTCTTAATGAGCCAGGAATACAGGGAAGCATCCTTAACCATATAAAAGATGTTAACAACAAACTAAAACAACATCACACTTAACAGTTTCTCTATGTAGCCCTGGCTGTCCTGGAACTTGTTATGTAGACCAGGCTGGCCTGAAACTCACAGAAGTACCTCTGTCTCCTGAGTGCTGGGATTAAGGGTGTGTGCCTCCTGCCTGGCTATCACAGGCCTGAAACTCACAGAAGCACCTCTGTCTCCTGAGTGCTAGGATTAAGGATGTGTGCCTCCTGCCTGGCTATCACAGTTAAACACTGAGGCTTGGCAAGAAGGCTTGCTGGGTAAAAAGTGCTCTTGATATCCTGAGTTCTGGGAGGACAGACCACTTTCAAAAGCTGTCCTATGACTTTCACTTAACATACTCCAGCACATGCATGTCTGAAAACACACAGGCACATGTGTGCACAAGCACAGTAAATACATAACTGAACACTGAAAGAGTTTCCTTGCTTAGATATGCAAGAATGCTTGGTGAGATAAAACAAATACAAGGTCTGTCTCACCTGGCCTGGTTTTACGTAATTGTAACCTGAGTTTGGTAGACTGAACCAAGAGAAATGTGGGTTCGAGACCAGACTGGTCTGTATGGAAAGACTGTACTTGAGAAAAAAAATTTCTTCCTTTATAGAACATTTCAGATGATTTTGTTGTACACATATAAATTCTGAAGCATTTTCAGATACATTAATTAAGTGATGTGCTTGAATTTGAGCATTTGAGAGATAGCTTAGTGGTTAAAAGCTCTTCCTGCCTCTTCCACAGGACCCGAGTTCAGCTCCCAGTATCCACATGGAGTGGGTACTCTATCTACAGGGTATCTAATACCCTCTTATGGCCTCCATGGGTACCTGAATCACTCACTCACACACACATACACATAAATATAAATAAAAATGTAAAATAAAATGTATGAGTGTATTGGGAGCACAGCACAAAGACCCTTGTGCCCATAGATCTCCAGAGAAACCAGGAATGTTAAGCATGCAGGACTGTTTTTCCAATGGGAAAGATATGAAACCTGTTCTTCCATCCAGAAGGCTGGGAATTAGAAGTGTTTAAGCAGGTGATGTACATTATCTGTGGGGCCAGGCCATATCAACCAGGACTAGAGGTGGCTAGTAATCTAAATGAGCCTTACAGCCATCTCACCCCTGCAACAAAGTTCCTACAACCAGGACCAGGGATATCTAACATATTACATTATCTAATAATTACATCGTCTGTATAGCCAGAGGCTCCCGCAGGCTCCCACAACCAGCACCACAGATGGCTGGCTAATAGCTCACATGACTTCTACGCTATCCGTATGACTGAGACCAGACCAGAGCCTTCCTTAGGCCCTTAAGCTAGTACAGGTAGCCTATGTCTAGAACCCATCTTCTTGGAAGAAATGACATGTACTCTGAGTTGAATTTTGATGTAATTATGCTTCCTTGTCACAAGGGATAGTATTACACTAGGAAACTTATTCCCAAATTATACTATTATACTTTGTTTAAATATACCAGCAATAAACTGTCATCAGACTCTCTCTCTCTTAGGTTTGATCCAGGTTGACAAAGTCAATCTGAACCAAGTTCTCTCTCTCTCTCTCTCTCTCTCTCTCTCTTCCTGTTTTTTGTTTTGTTTTGTTTTGTTTTCTGAGACAGGGTTTCTCTATAGCTTTGGAACAACTCACTCTGTAGACCAGGTTGGTCTTGAATTCACAGAGATCTGCCTGCCTCTGCCTCCTGAGTGCTGGCATTATAGGTGTGCGCCACTACCGCCCAGCTCTGAACTGAGTTTTCATTCTCACCTATTTTGACTCATTTCCTTGCCCAACACCTAAAGAGACCCCCTCATGGATGCAACAAAGTATCACTTTGAAATATCAGCAACAAACAAAAAGTGGAACATGAAATAAAATATTAGTATTTTTTTAATCAAACGTGTTAAATGAAGAAAAGGGTATTGAAGCATAGACTTGAGATACAGGAGTGGTAGAGTACTTGTCCAGCATGTGCAAAGTCCTGTAATTGATCTGCAGCACTGTCAAAAAATATATACAGGGCCAGTGAGCTGGCTCAGTGGGTAAAGACGCTTGATGTCACACCTGAAAAGCTGAGTTCAACCCAGGGACTCACAAAGGAGGAGAGAAAAACCCCTTCAAGTTGTCCTCTGACCTCCACATATGTGCTATAGCTTGTGTATCCCAAAATAAATAATAAAAATTTAAATGCCTATGTAATTCCTCATTAGGAACATTTCTAAAACCCACTGCTATGTGTTTACTTGTCTATCTACATCTTAGGGATAAAGGTCTCTTATGGGTATATGTAAATGGGACATTGACTTTGTTCATAGATTAGACTAGTTTTATAAATATAAGCATACTATAATAACCATTTTCTTCAAATTTAACTACAAAGCAATCGAAATCCAAAGTATCAACGGACTTTTTAAAAAAAAACCTATGGCTTGCTGATCCTAAAACTGATATGGAAATGCAAATGGAAAAATCGCCAATATCCTTGCTTTGTTTTGTTTTTTGAGACAGGGTTTTTCTGTGTAGCCCTGGCAATCCTGGAACTCGCTCTGTAGACAAAGCTGACTTCGAACTCAGAGATCCACCTGCCTCTGCCTCCACACTTGGTAGTTAAGATTCGTATAAAAGAACAAGATGGGAAGGTATTTTCTATTCTATTCAAAAACTAGAGTGCAAAAAATTAATATTGTGTAGTAATATTTAGGGCACTCACAAGTTCTCCAGTCTAAGAATATGCTTTTTTTTTTAAAAAAAAAGGTAGTGTGGTTTGTTATCTTTCTTGTTTATTGACATGTGAAGTTTCAAAGCAGAAACTTCAAAACCAGTGTACACAAAAGTATAATCCAGGTCTATTGCTGAACTATTCAAATAGCTAGGAAATGGGACCACCATGGATATCCATTAACAGAAAAATGGATAAATAAAAAATGGTACACATGAATAATGGAATTTTATTTGTCCATAAATAAAAATGTAATCATGATACTTGCTAGGAAATGAATGCACTGGAGATTGTTATGTTAAAGTGAAATAAACAAGACTCAAAAAGACAATACTGCATTATTCTCTCATGTAGACTCGAGATTTAGTTTGTATGTGTATGTGTTTGTTGCAGGATATGAACCCAGGAGAAAGCCCAAGAAAGGGAAGAGGAGATCTTAAGAAGAGTATATGGGAAAGAGAGGGATTTATTTTTCATGGAAGCAGAAGGTGAGCTATTTGGAAGGGGGAAGGGCATCAGGAAGAATGGATCAGGGATATAAACTAAACTGAAATTTATTGTATGGGTGTCGAGATAGACAACTAGACCAGAAGAATAAAATAATCCAAATCACATTTGGTTTATAGCAGAGGTGGTATTGCAAAACAGAGAAGAAAAAAAAATGTGTCTTCAATTCACAATGGTGGGAAAAATTATCACCTATAATACAAATTCATATTGCATATAAAACCCATATAGATTATAGATATGATGTAAAAAGCAAAAACTATAAAACTTAGGATGATAAAATATGTTACTGACCATATGTAAAATTAAAATTTTTGGAATCATTAAAATTGGCCAAAGCCAGCCGGGCATTGGTGGCGCACGCATTTAATCCCAGCACTCGGGAGGCAGAGGCAGGCGGATCTCTGTGAGTTCGAGGCCAGCCTGGTCTACAAAGTGAGTTCCAGGACAGCCTCCAAAGCCACAGAGAAACCCTGTCTCGAAAAACCAAAAAAAAAAAAAAATTGGCCAAAGCCAGGCGTTGGTGGAGCATGCCTTTAATCCCAGCACTCGGGAGGCAGAGGCAGGCAGATCTCTGTGAATTTGAGGCTAGCCTGGTCTACAGAGCGAGTTGAGGACAGCTTCCAAAGCCACAGAGAAACCCTGTTCAAAAAATAAATAAATAAATAAATAAATTGGCCACAGAGTGAGGTGGTGGTGGCGCGCGCCTTTAATCCCAGCACTCGGGAGGCAGAGGCAGGTGGATCTCTGTGAGTTGGAGACCTGCCTGGCCTACAAGAGCTAGTTCCAGGACAACCTCCAAAATCACATAGAAACCCTGTCTCAAAAAACAAAACAAAAAACCCAAAACCAAAAAAAAATTTTTCAAAAAAAAATTGGCTACAGAATGGGAGAAATATTCATACACATATAGCTATTAATTACAAAGGATTCATTTGGAGCATGTTTAGAACTTTGGTCAATCAATTAATGAGACAAAAAATACTAACAGAAAAAGAGGCAAACGACTTGAATAGGCATGTCACAATGGCCAACTAAATAGAGAATGTATTTTAAAACCACAATGAGAAACTAGACTATGAAAATGAGACAGAAAAATATGTGTCAGAAGTTAAGATGATAGTGCAATGAGGATGTCTACACCCTTGGAATAGCAGTGTTAATTCATATAACCTCTTTTGGAAACTGACATTATTTGGTCAAGTTGATATAAGATTGACGCAGGAGGGTTTCTGTGAATTCAAGACCAGCCCAGACTACACAGGCCAAACAACAACAAAAACAAACTTCAAATATAGAAATTTTAAGAATAGTAAAGACACTATTCTTGTGAAAATAATAGGAACAAAACATCTTATGATTTGATAAATCAAAGTTGTACCTCCATGTTTTCCTGACAATATGAAATTTGCCAATTTAAAGGGTGAGAAAAGTACATACTTTGGTTGGGACAATACTCACATTCTCGAAAATGGCTTAATTTGGTCATTACTTCTTCCCTGAACAGCTGAATGACTTGCTCTACAATCTCCCGGTTTCGATTTTGGCTTAGGGCACCCAAGTATTTCTCTAGAAGAGGAATGTTTTTCAGATTCCAAATGAAGTTCTCTCGACGAAGAAGGTTTAACTTTGGATGACGGAATTCCTAAATGAAAAGCAAGAAACAGGAGAGGATGCAGTGGAGTACTTAGCATGGACAACACCCAGTGATAAAACTAGAAACGGCACCATATGTCCATAAGCCCAGAACTTGAGAGATGAATACAGGCAGATCAGAAGTTCAAAATCAGGCCAGGCAGAGGTGGCACACACCTTTAATCCCAGCATTTAGGAGACAGGCAGATTTCTGTGAGTTTGAGGCCAGTCTGGTCTATAGTTAGTTCTAGAACAGCCAAGGCTAGACAAAGAAACCCTGTCTTGAAAATTAAAAAAAAAAAAAGCAGTAGTTCAAAATCATCTTTGGCTACATAGTGAGTCTTGGCTTGCCTAAAAAAAAATAAATATTTTTTAAAGCAAGAAACAGCCTCTTGACACCATCTATCTCTATGGAGAGGTCTTTCTTTTGCCACTACAAGAGGCAGATGGCATTTTGCACTGTCTTATGGCAGCTGTCTTGCCTCATTTATGGTGACCCAGAAAGCAAGATGGATAAAGTGACACATGTCTGAATACCCAGTCCTTGGAAGGCTGAGGTAAGAGGATCTTTCCTTCAAGGCTAGCGTTTCTCTTACTTTAAAAATCCACAAAAATTGTAAGTTGCTTTCTATTTGATCAAGGCCTTATAGTTTTGGGAGTATAGTCTCATCTTACTTGATCTTCATTGGTGTGAAGACAGGAATTTTTTTTCTGCTTTTAAGTTTTTTGAGACAGGGTCATACATTGCCCACTCTGACCTTGGACTCCCTATGTATGCAAGGATGACTTTGAACTCCTGATCCTCCTGCCCTCCCCTCCTAAATGTGCCAGAATTAGAAGCATATGTCACTGTGTCAGGCTCGTAGACAGGGATTGCTAACTAGCACTTACAAAAGGAACTGGAGACTGTTCTTAAGAGCACGGTGGCTTACATGTGCAATCCTAGCATTCAGGAGACTGAGACAAGAGGATCACTGCAAGTTCAAGGCCAGCCTGGGTGGATGTGATAATTTAGATAAAAATGGCCCCCATAGGCCCATAGGGAGTGGCTCTCTTAGGAGGTGTGGCCTTGTTGGAGGAAGTGTGTCACTGGGGAGTGGGCTTTGAGGTTTCAGAAGCTCAAGCCAGGTCTAGAGGCCCCCTGTCTCTTCCTGCAGCCTGCTGATTGAGATGTAGAACTCTCGGCTCCTTCTCCAGCACCATGTCTGCCTGTGTGCCACCATGCTTCCCACAATGACAATAATGGACTAAACCTCTGAACTGTAAGCCAGCCTCAATAACACATTTTCCTTGATAGAGCTGCTGTGGTCACAATAGCTCTTCACAGCAACAGAACCCCAACTAAGATACTAAGACAGTGGACCACAGTGAATTCCAGGCCAGCTTGGGCTACAGTGTGAAAGTCTGTCTCAAAAACAAAAACAAAAAACCGGACTGGTAAGATTACTGGGTACGTCCACATGCTTGTTAATGGGTCCAAAGACCTGAGTTTTGATGCCTCCATCCCACCAGGTATGACACAAAGTGTCTCATTGGTCTGGAGCTTGCCAATTAGGCTAAGCCAAAGCTTCAGACATCCTCCTGCCTCTACCTCCACAGCACCAGGATTATAAGCCTGCCACCTTGCCTGGTTTTTTATGTGAGCTCTGGGGAGACAACTCAGGTCTTCACGTTCTTCATGAAGCATGGAGTAGTTCTTCACTTACTGAACTCTTTCCAGCCTCTACTTTTCTTATTTTTAATAGTCTGTATGCATATGTGTGTATATGTGTGAATGCAGGTGCCCACAGAGTCCACGGGCAGTTGTGAACCACCCATGTGGGTGTTGGAAACTGAACTTGGGTCCTCAGGAACAACATATGTGCTTAAGCACTGAGCCACCTCTCAAGTTTTTTTTTTTTAAAGCAAATATAACAGAGCCATGCTTTTAATCCTAACACTTTTGGGGCAGAGGCAGGTGGATCTATGCGTATTCCAGGACAGTCTGGTTTACATAGTGAGTTCTAGGACAGTCAGAGCTACATACTGAGACCTTGTCTTTAAAAAAAAAAAAGTACTTGCCGGGCGTTGGTGGCACACGCCTTTAATCCCAGCACTCGGGAGGCAGAGGCAGGCGGATCTCTGTGAGTTCGAGGCCAGCCTGGTTTACAGAGTGAGTTCCAGGACAGCCTCCAAAAACAATACAGAGAAACCCTGTCTCGAAAAACCAAAAAAAAAAAAAAAAAAAAGTACTTAGAGCTGGTGAGATAACTCACCAGTTAAGAGCACTGACTGTTCTTCCAGAGGTTCTGAGTTCAATTCCACAACCACTAATAATGGGATCTGATGCCCTCTTCAGGCCTGCAGGTGTACATGCAGATAGAGCACTCATACCTTTTTTGAAAAAGGACTTAAAATAAATAAAATATAATACTCTTGTTGGCTTTTCAGCTACAGTATACTCAGGTAAGGTTTAGGGTGAGCTCCCACATGCTGGCACTGTCATCCCCCACATGCACATGACATTATCTCAGCTCTCAAGGCAACAGTGGGAAGGACACTGGACTGAGTCACGCAGGTCATAGTTCCAACTCCCTCTTCTACTTACAAACAGGTCAACATCTCAGATCTTAGATTCCCCAGCAGAAAAATCAAGATGTCAGCCATTCATGGATAGACCGAGCCAGGAAAAGCAACCCTCTACATGTTGGGGCTCCACACGAGCCTTGTTTTTAGTTTGTCTGTTTTGTGGTGCTGGAGATAACCCAGGGTCTTCCACACATTGCACAAGCACCCTGTCTCTGAGTTATGCCCTCAGTCCAAAAGTTTGAATGTTCAAAAATATGAATTTTGTGCCTAATCACCCTGACTTCTCTGGCCTTTCTTTCCTTTTGGCTCCTTGCATACCAATCTGAACTGGTGGCAGTTGACTAATTCATGTCAGCCTACCTCCCATTTATCATCCTCACTCTGTCCCTCACCAGAGCTCCCATTTCCTAGGACCTTTGCTTCCTCTAGTTCAGAACTCAGATCACAATCATAATCACGGGTTGCTCTCTGTTTCCTTCTTCCCCACACTGGAATCTCCTGAGCCCAACACCCAAACCATCTGTCAATCAAGCTGCAACCAAATTCCAGTATTATTTGGTCCTGTGACTTATGAATGTCTCAGTTTTGGTTCCTATGATGTCAGGGCTCCTGTCTACACTGGATTCCCTAGGCCTGGAAATTGCTGGAATCCTCAGTGACCCAATGACATCCTCCACAGAGTAGTCACAGCCTCTGCCACAGGGACAGGACCGAAAAAGCACATTTTAGCAGTGTCATAGACACGGTAGCTCAGTACACACAGGAAGGTTAAGGGACTCTGCCTGTCATAGCTTGGTGGGAAGTCAGTGAGGGCACGGGCAGTGGGGTTAAGTATGTCAGAAGGTACTGTAATGCCAAGCAGAGAGCCATTCTCTGTGTCCCCCAGAGCTCCCCTGTTCTCCACATGACAACTTAAGACAGGTGGCACAAGCACAGCTGCGGGTGACCAATTGAACAGCTGAGTACTCGTCACGTGGAGATGTCTCCTCTGAGACTGCATTTGCCATCTCAGACAGAGGAAGAGGATCTGAAGCTTCAGGAGGAAGAGGTATGTGAGTGAACCCATAAACAGGCTGAGAGGAGATAGCAGGGATAAACGAGTTGATGAAAACCTGGTCAAAATCCCAATAACATTCTTTACAAAAATAGAAAAAAAAACTTAAGATCTGTATAAAACCATGAAAGACTCCAAATATTCAGAGTGATTCTGAGGAGAAAAGCAAAGTTAGATGAATTTAATCTGATTTAAGATTATATTACAATGTTATCATAACACAAACAGCATGAGTATTAAGGGTATATGTCAGAGGTAGAGCATATACTTAGTATGAAAGTTGCCCTGGGTTTAATACCCAGCATCAGAAAACAAATAGAAGCAAAAATAGCATTTTACTGGTATAAAAGCAGACACAAGAACTCGGGGGACAGTGCGGAGAATCCATAAATAACCCCTAAAAACCCAGTACCAAGTAGTGTCCAACAAGAGCACCACACAGACACCATGGGGAAGGATAAGGTTCTTGAGTGCAGTTCTGGGAAAACTGAATTTCAACATGAAAAACAATGATATTGGACACGTATCTTATATCATATACAAAAATCAACCCCAGATAGACAAAAGATCCAAATGTCAAGATGATAAAACTCCTTGACAATGGTTTTGTGAATGGTGTCTTGCCTGTCATATCCAGAGAAAATATAGACAGATGGGATTACATCAACCTAAAAACTTCAGCATAGAAAAAACCGCAACAATCAATCCCCTGGGGCTGGGGAACTGCTCAGCCAGTGCAGTGATCTGATAATAGGCACTATAGCAGCTATCTTACAGTATGTGTATCTTATAACATGTTGTATACCTTATTATATCACATTACATTTATGTTTAAATGATAAAGGAGAAAGATGTAAGAGGCACTTATTGAAACAGCACATTTGGGAAATATTTGAAGGCTATTGTAGAGACAACATAGATATAATACAGAGTATTATAACCACTATAAAGTTTCTTCTGAATAAAATTAACATATGAAGAAAAATCTTCTAAAAATACACTTAAGCCAGGTATGATGGCCTACACATCATCCCAGTAATCAGGAGGCAGAGGCAGGAGGATTGCCACAAGTTTAAGGCCAACCCAGGCTACACAGTGGGTTTCAGGTCAGCCAGGGACATAACGACCCTGTCACAGAGGCTGGAGACATGGCTCAGTGGTTGAGAACACTCGATGTTCCTGCGGAAGACTGGAGTTCCATTCTCAGCATCCGCACACTGGCTCACAGCCATCCGTAACTCTAGTTCCAGGGGGAGCACCCTCTTCTGGCCTCCTTGGGTACCTGACAGTACACTTACACAGATGCAGGCAAAACACTCATATACATATATATAATAAATAAATCTTTTTCAAAAAGACCCTGTCATAAGCAAATAAAAGTAAAATAATTAAATTCCAAATATATTGATATTCATAAGTGGGTATTGTGTGTGTGTGTGTGTGTGTGTGTGTGTTCATGTTCATGCACACATGTGCATACCTGGAGGCCAGAGGTCCACACTGGGCATCTTCCTCTTCATTTTATCTTACTTTTGAAAATTATTTATGTACACGTGTATGTGTGTGCACATGTGTGCATGGATATATGTTGCACACACACATGAGGACATTTGTGTATGTATGTGTGCTGTGGCATTAGTGTGGTGGTTAGAGGAGAGCTTGTGAGAGTGAATCCTTTCCTTTCACCATGTGGGGCTCAAGCTTGGTGGCAACAATCTTCACTGCTTAGCCATTTTTCCAGACCCTCAGCCTTATTTTTTGAGACAAGGTCTCCAACTGACCCTGGGACTTCCCAATTTGGCTAGACTGGCTGTCAGAAAGCATCCCTCCCCCCGCCCCCCGTCTCTGCCTCCCCCGGTGCTTCGAGATACGCTGCCATTTTTTTCTGTGGGTATTGGGATCCTAATTCACATCTTTGTGTTTGTGCCAATGGAATCATCTTTGTACTCCCTTCAATGGACATTTTAATGAACATCCACAAATGGATTTGTTCAAACTTAATTAAAAGTGTTCCGACTGAAATGCTTAATGTTTACTACCCAAAGCTATATGCAATACAATTTGTTGAATACATGAACAGAGTGTAGTAGAGAAAAGTTTATAAACATTTATTGAACATCAATTCCAGAGGATGGGATTACTGATAACTTTTGATTTGTCTTTGCATTTTTACTGGCTTTTCTTAAATAATGAGTTACTAAAGCGTTTTTGCTTAACCAGAAAGGAAATGAGTTACTTCTATTTTTGAAATATCAGGGTAAATTAGTACTGTGTAGATGGTCACAATGACCTTGACATTCTGGCCAAGAGGAGTAACAAACTTGGTATGCCCAGTTATAAAAGTTAAACCACTGAATAAAATTTAAGTCATTGGCATTAAGTAATGAAGACAGACAAGTAAAATGAGTTTGTTCCCACTCACTACCTTGACAGAGGACTCAGAGTGCAGAGGGAGAACACAGGAAGAGCCCAGAATGCTCAATTGAGTTGAAGACAGAGCTGAGAGTCCAGGAAGACCAAGGCGGCTAGAGGTTGTAGGACAGACGCCCAAGGTCAGAGCTGCAGAGAGAACAGCAAGTCCTTCTTGAGAATATGATGCATCAGTATATGCCCCACATATTAAGTCTGAGGAAAGGACCATCTGAAATGTCTGGAAGGGGTTAGACGGGGCACATACAAGAGGCTGGGGACAGTGTCCATGGCTACTGACAACTCTGGGAAACATCCAACTTATAGGATGTTGGACAGAGAACTCAGAAGGGGTTTTGCATTACACCTGGCCCCACCTATGAGAGGTTACAAGCAAGACACAAAAGAGTCAAATGGCCTCCAATCGCCTGAACTGTGTCTACTCCAGGAAGTTCAGTGGGTATCAAACACAAGAAACATGTGGGAGATGGACATGGTCACACATACCCAACAGGAAAAAAAAATAAAGTAGCCTAAATATGTCAATTAAATGACAAAGACTCCCAATTTCTTTTTTTTTTTTTTCAGTTTTTCGAGACAGGGTTTCTCTGTGGCTTTGGAGGCTGTCCTGGAACTCGCTCTGTAGACCAGGCTGGTCACAAACTCACAGAGATCCGCCTGCCTCTGCCTCCCAAGTGCTGGGATTAAAGGCGTGCGCCACCAACGCCCAGCTTCCTGATTTCTTTCTTTCTTCCTTCCTTCCTTTCTTTCTTTCTCTTTCTTCCTTCCTTCCTCCCTCCCTTCCTCCCCGCTTTCTGTCTCTCTCCCCACACCTCTCTCTCTCTCTCTTTCATCATGGAGTCAGAATATAGCCAAAGCTGGACTTGAATTTTCAGCAATCCTCCTCCCTTAGTTTCCTAAGAGCTGGGACTATGGACATACACCTCCATGTCTCATAAACACAGTCAGATTGCATAAAAAAACAAACAACAACAATAAACAAAACAAAAATAAGACCCTAAAAATTCTTCCTCTAAGAAATATTTCAAGTATAATGATTGCCACATAGATCAGCGTTGTTTTCTTTTTGTTAATTTCTAGCAGACTACAAATATGTTTCTGAGAATGAATGAGCCCCACCCCTTTCCTCTCTTACTTAATTGCTTCTTGCTTTAGAATGGGACTGTATCCCAATAAGCTTGGGTTAGAATACATGCCTTGCTCAAGTCTTCCCTGACCATGAACTTAACACTAAAACAACCACCAAATACGTTTGCATTGTCTTCTAAACCCCTTGAAACTTTAAAATTGTTTGCTTGTTTATTGTAAGACAGAGTCTAGTCACAGAGCCCTGAACTCACTATGTAGACCAGACTGGCTTTGTGGTGATCCTCTTGCTTCTGCCTCCTGAGTACTAGGATTGAAGGTGTGTACCACCACATCCAACCTTTCCCTAACTCAGGCACTTACTGGGTTTTTACTAACTATTGATTATCTGATGGCTGAGTTAGCTTCCTAGATGTTTTCCGTCTTTCTGGCTCTCAGAGTGCTATAATTAGATTTTACCCATTAATAAAAAAAACTTCCCAAGGATCCCTACTGACTGGAAGATACAGTCCAGTCCTTACTTTGGAGAGTGGGAGGGCAGGGTCTTACAATGTAGTCTAGGTGGCACAAACTGAAGAGATTCCTGCATTAGACTCCCAGTGTTAGGGACAAACCGACTTCTTGCTGCCATAGAATGAGTATCTTATTATCTGACTCCACCTTATAGTTTCAGTTTTATCTCTTGTCTGCCTCATTTATAACCCTTATATATAGGCAGCCATAATAAATTACCCAGAGGTTCCTGAATATGGTCCTCCATTGTCCTTCATGTGCTCTGTCCTTCACCTGGAATGTCCTCCTTCCTCAATTTCTTTCTAACCAATGTGCTCCTAACTTTAGAACCAGTTAGGTATTACTTTTGAACAATTAAGTCTCCCAAGGTGTCACATGTACAGTGCTAGACATCAAGAATAAAAGATGGATGAATATGCCGGGGAGGCAACACAGTTGGTGGAGTGCTTATCCAGCATGTATGAAGCTCAATCCCAGGACCATGTAAACTAGGCGTGGTGGTACATGCCTATAATTCTAGTACTCAGGAGACAGAGGCAGGAGGATCAGAAATTCAAGGTAATCTTTGACTATGCAGTGAGTTTGGGGTCACCCGGTACTGTAAGAGACCTGTCTCAGAGAAAATGGATAAATAAAGCATATTGTTTCACAAGATTCTCATGGCTAGCCAGACATGGTGGTGCATGTCTTTAACCCTTTAGCGCAGCACTTTCAAGGCAGAGGCAGGTGGATCTCTGTGGTCAGCTTGATCTACATAGTGAGTTCCAGGCTAGCCAGGGCTACCCAGTGAGATTCTATCTCAAAGCAAACAAAACAAAAAGTAAACAAACAAAAATCCCTTACAAACAAAATAAGACCCCAAATCTTACCTCCAATGTTTTATCCAACTGGGCTGCTAGCCTTCCTATTTCATATAATTGCTGGTGGCTGATGGCAACCTCAGCTATGGGTTTTCCTGGGAGGTAAGTGAGCATTCTCACCAAGTAGCTTTTGACTTCAGATCCACTGTCTAGATTGAAGGGATGACACATCCTGTCAATCATTCTTGAAAAAACAGTAGAGGCCATTGCACATGTTAGGCAAGCACTCAGCAAAATCACTTCTCCAGCCTCAAGTATGTGTTTTTATTTATTAGACTGGCTGCATATGCTGGTACTGTCATGTAGAAGAACGAACATGAAGCAAGCAACTGGGCATTTTAAACCGGTGTGTCACTACTATGTATGTGACCTCAGGCACAGCACTTGAAAGCAAGGCTGCAGGTTCTCATCTGTGGGACTCGAGCCTTTTCCTTTAAAGAGTGCTGAGATGTGCCTCAGCAAGCAGCAGCTTGAGATCAGTTTCTGGGAATTTTTTTAAAAGTGTGAGGTCTTCACCATCTTCTTTTCTCTTGTTTATCTTTTTAGGAGCAATGCAAATTTAAAAAAGGCTTGAGTCCCACAGATGAGAGCCTGCATGTGCAAGGATCTGGGTTCGATGTCTAGCAATCTTTTTGTGTTAAGAAAGAACAGAAACGTTCTCCTGATTTTCACAGGTCCCTCAGTTACTATTTATCGGGACATTTATAAACAGAAAATTTAAATTTATACTAGATCGCAACTCAAGCCATTTCCAAACCTATAGCCAAAATGCAGTACTATGATGGTATAGGGATCTCTTACCAATGGACATGAGCGAGATCGTGTTGTCCCCTTTAGTTCGGCACACAGAGGCTGTTGGAAATCCAGCTGCTCTCAGAAACGTGATGATATTGTTCTGCATTTCAATCAGGTCTGGAGTTTGGCTAGACTCCGTGTTGCTTATTTTGAGGACATATTCGACGGGGTCATCTGTTGTGTCTTTGGTTCTTGAAATGTGAACATGAAAGTTTTGGTCATCATAGCTAGGCAGTGACTGGATCTTAGAAACTTTGAACCCAAATACTGATTCTACTAGTGCAGAGGCTTGTATCTCAGTAAAAGCGGGCTTGCTGGAAGCCTGTGACTGCCAGTCATCTCCACTTGACATTATGTCTAGGGGAAAAAATAACAGCCAGAAGAGAGACATATTACAATGACAGATATTTATTTGAATGATTATTCTAAAGACAGACCACTGTTTCTCTATATTGAGTCTATGCTTCTAGATTTTTATTTATAAAGTTAAAAAAATCAGATTAGTGAATGAGATCATGAAGCTGTCCCAGGACTGGAGAGGTGGCTCCACAGTTAAGAGCACTTATTGCTCTTTCAGGAGACCTGAGTTTGGTCTCCAGCACTCACAGTGAGTGGCTCATATCCGGTTCCAGGGGGCATCTGACACCCTTTTTTAGACTCTGTAGGCATCTGCAGTTACACATGCACCATAGCTATGCAGAGACACTTAAAATGAAAATAATCTTTAAAAGAAAAACAAGTTGATGTTCAATTAGAGCATAATGGCCCATGTGTATAATCCCAGCACTTGGAAGGCAGAGGCTGGAGGACTGTTTTGAGTCCAGGCCAGCTTGGTCTGCCTAGGGTGGCCAGGCTATATGGGGAGACCTTGTCTCAAATAAAACAAACAAAACAGAAGCAGATACGTTGGCAATTGAATCCTTGTGTCACAAATTATTTTTAAATTTCCCTCCCAAACTGAAGGTAAAGTTCTGAGGACAAACTCGATCACAGAGACATTTTGTTATCATCTAATTCAGTCCTTCCTCTTGTCTGCCAACTTTAGATGGGAATGTAGGTCCAAAGAAATGAAGAGATGCCGGGCGGTGGTGGTGCACGCCTTTAATCCCAGCACTCGGGAGGCAGAGGCAGGCGGATCTCTGTGAGTTCGAGGCCGTGCTGGACCGACAGCCTCCAAAACAATGCAGAGAAACCCTGTCTAGCAAAAAAAAAAAAATGAAATGAAGAGATGTGTCCAAAACCAGTATTAAGTTCCATTGAGAGCTCAGCTCTGGGGGCTTGGAAGGTGGCTCACAGGGTAAGGTGACCAATATGAGAGCATGAGGTTTGCATCCATAGCAAGCATAAAAAGCCAGGCTTGGTGGTATGTGCCTGTAATTCTAAATTGTTGCATTTTTTTATGTTTTTGTTTTTTTGAGACAAGTTTCATGGAGTATAGGGTAGCCTTGAACTCATCATATAGCCTTGATCTTCTGATCCTCCTGCCTTTACCTCCCAAATGTGTACTGCTGTTTTGCTTATTTGGTGCTGGGGATCAGACTCAGGATCTCATACATGTTAGGCAAGCATCCTACCAAGTGAACCAAGTCCCCAGCCAAGTTGTTGTGTTTTTGTTGTTGTGTTTTTTATTTTATTTATTTATTTTTTGGGGGACAGGGTTTGTCTGTGTAGCTTTGGAGCCTGTCCTGGAACTTGCTCTATAGACCAGGCTGGCCTCAAACTCACAGAGATCTGACGACTGCCTTTGGCTCCCGAGTGCTAGGATTAAAGGCGTGTATTCTTGCCAATCCCTTCTCACTTCTCATGTTTACCCTCTTACCATAGTATTTGCTTTCAGAAAGCAAATTAAGCTCTTCAGGTTTTGTTCACTAAACATATTGTCACCAAGACTAAACAGGGTTTCAAAACAATCTTTGCACCTGAAACTTCTGGAAACTAATACATCCTGTTACACTGTTTTTGGCCTTTAGACTTTACAAGGAATTTTAAACATTCCTTATGCACATATATAAAACGAGACCAGTGTTCATAATGTAATGGGAACTGAAGCCTTAACTCCAAGATGAAATCTTCTCAACTCTCAAGTATTTAAGGGTATTAAAACAGTGTTGAACTTGATAGGAATTTGATAGGGAGCTGGGTGCGGCGGAGCACATCTGTTGTCTCACCAATCCAGAGACAGGGACAGAAAGACTGCTGCTTGCTGAAGTTCAGTCTGGAATACCTACTGAATTCCAGTCTAATCCTGGCTACAGCAAAAGAATTGTCTCAAAAAGAAAAGGTTCTTAAGGTTGAAAAGACTGTTAAAGGCAATTAGTGAAGGCCAATCTCCAGAAAACGTTCCTATGATCTTAAGTGGGGTTTGTGAAGCATCCTTCTACAGAGCCTCGTTTGCTAAAATAGGACAAGGTATTACTGGCAGGTCTGGCCACAAGACAACCTGGTGCGCTAAACAGGTGCTGAGCTGCAGACAGCTGTTCCAGCGTCAGCTGGGCTACCAATCTCTGAAACTTCAGTCACGCGGCCTCTAAGAGTTCAACCATGCCATCTCTAAACGTCCCTTCTAGCACCAATATCTAAGCCGTTAAAAGTTCTCGTTTACGCTTATATTTGTCTTTTCCTTGTACACACGAAGAACTCAAAATCATGAGAGAAAAGGCACACATTGAAACCCGCTACTGAAAGTAAATACACACAAAATGTTTCTACCAGAGATTTCCATTTTAACCAAACGTGTGTGGAGAGGATTGAGGGCGAATCCAAATCCTATATAGGTGTTAGTGTACTTCTTGCCAACAATATTTATCTCCCGACAAATCCCTCAAACAGTAAGGGCTTCTAACCTGGAGGTTGGCACCACACTCCATAATCTTTGCTGAACGAAAGTGCAATGAAGTGGGAGTGAACTTTACACTCTGCACTTTGTGCAGGGAACACCAGAAAAGAAAACAACCAGCAAACCCCCAGAAACCAGCCTTTCCTCTCATCCTCTCCTAAAGTGTCACAAAGTCTCGTGAACTCTGCGCCAGCACTTCTTCCAAGTCAGTCTTCAGCGACCCTTATGCTATGAGCTCCCAAGGCTGGGAAGCAGGCACTTATTCCCTGCATCTATTTGGTGAGCCAATGGTTGCCACCACTCACAGTTCACAGGCTGCAGGGACTCTACACAGTAGTTTCCCAAGGGCGATTAAAAGCAGCACTTCCCGCTGCTCCAGTGGGTCTAGCTGCAGAGAAAAGACAACGATGGAAGGGAGGGGATCCACAGCCGGGTTCCCGGCCTTGTGTCGGTCAGGTCCAGGGGAGCCTCTGGGATGGCTTCCACCCCGCACCGTGCAGGCCCAAGCAGGGTGGGACCCTCGGATTGCGCTCTGAGATTCCAGCCCGCCTGGGGCTGGACAGTGAGCTGCCCCGTCAACAAGCAGCGAGTGTGAGGAGCGCAAGGACAGCAGGAGCCCGTCGCCCGCTCTTAGGGACGTCCCGTCACGGAGACCCCGGGCTCATCTCAGCCTCCCCCATCTCGGCTCACCCGCCGCGACTGGACCTCCCAAAGCAGACCCGCAGTCTTCACTCTGCAAGCCAGATGCTGCGGTGCTGGAGGTGGGGCCCGGCCCGCGGCCGTCAGCCCCGCCCTTCCATGGCCCCGCCCACATTCCGCCGACCAGTCAGCGTACGCTACTGACCGCCCATACCCAGCCCTTCCTCCGCCCCCAACAGAGTTCAGAGATCCAGCTTCTGATTGGCTGTCTGCAACCCAACGACCCAGTCAGTTTCGGCTCTCTAGTCAGGATTCAGAATTCTTGTTTCTGATTGGCCCTGGAGTAGCCATTTAATAGGTTTGGGGCCTTTGAGCGGCACCTGTCAATTCTGACCCGGTCGGCTTCTGAGCATGTCTGTCAGAAAGCTGCCTCCTGAGAGCTCGCATCTTGGCTTTCTCTCCTTACTCCTTCCCGCTCTTTCTGGAAGCGCATATCCTGGAAGCCATCTACATAAAGCGCGGCCAGGGTTGCTTTCTCCCCAGGAGGGAATCCTGGTCCCGAAACCGCAAGGGTCAGTACCCCTTTCTGAGGGAACGGGCTCGCTATCTAGGTACTGGAATGCTTCAACCCAAAACGACTGCATAAACAGGCTTACACTGTCTGTGCTGGCGGGAAAACTGAACTCTAGAGTGCACAGAGCAACCTGACCGTGGTTACCAACTCCCAGTTCAAAACCTTGGCCACAGCACCGGTTTTCAAGCTAGGTATGCGTCCATGCACACACACCGATGAAAAGGATGTGGTGTCCTTTCTGGTAACTGATCTTTGTTTTATTCCCCTGAGGAAGGGTCTTTCACTCGGAGCTCATTATTTTCTCAGTTAGACTGGCAGTCAGAAAGCTCCAGTGATCCTTTCATTCCATCACTCCCTGGCGCAGCACGAGGGTTGCAGAAATGCACAGTAATGTCTGGCTTTTTACATGGTTCTGGGGATCCGAACACAGGTCTTCAAGCTTGGGTAGCAAAGACTCTTACTACTGAGCCATCTCCTGGGATATTCAGAATATCACTGGTATAGTGATGGGTGTTAATTGTAGCATATGAGAACTTGAGACAGGATTCTGAGCTCAAGGCAGCTAAGCTGGACTACATAAGGAGACCCTGCTGCAGAGGAGAAAAACCAGGGACAAATGCTTTCTGCAACTTGCCATTTTCACTTAAGTAGACATTTCCCCATTTTTAAGGGTATCTTTATTCATACAATTTTTGTGCATCTAAAGGTTTTGGTTGAGACAATCTCATGTAGCCCAGGCTGGATTCCTGTTGCCACCTCCAAGTGCTGAGATGCTAGGTGTGCACCACCTTGCCGTTTTATGTACTCCAAATTGTCTTTAGGATGAACTATTCAGTCTTTTAAGATTCCTAATGTATGCTTCCAAATCATTTTCCCCTCAACACTGGAGATTTTATACACATATGTGTGTGATAACACACACACCCCTCCAATGTGAAACAAAAACAACTTGCAGAGATTACATGATTTTGTATTGTTTGACTCAATGTCACAGCTCAGTATTTAGCCATGTATAATGCTTTGGGTCCAACAGAAAATGTGTCTTAGAGAACCTAATTTTGTAGTTTAAAAAATATATGGAAGCTGGGCATGATAGCACACACTTTTAATCCCAGCACTAGGGAGACAGAGGCAGATGGATCTCTGAGTTTGAGGAGAGCCTGGTCTACAAAGCAGGTTTCAGGACAACTAGGGCGGTTATACAAAGAAACCCTGTCTGGAGAAAAAACAATGCTTGCGTGTGCGTGTGCATGTGGTCATAGGCAATCTTGTGGAGTCAGTTTTTTCCTTCACCTTTGCATGGCTCTGGAGATAGAATTTGTGTGACCAGGCTTCTCCAGCCAGCACCTTTTACCCCCTGAGCCATCTCACTGGTGCAGTTTTGTAATTCCTTTACACAATAGACAAAGTTTAGTGCCAACACAGTGAATACACACAATTCAATGTTCATATGAGCAGAATATGAGGTTTACATAAACATCTACTTTTGCAATAGATGATTCATTTTTCAGGTACTGTTACTGATGGGGCATGTTCTGAGAAATGCATCCTTAGGTGACCTCATTGTGCAAATGTCAATGTAATCACACAAAATGAAACTGGGTGCCCCGTTTTATGAACCAGTTACATGTGGTCTGTCATTGACTGAAATGTTATTATGTGGCCCAAACATATCCTGAACACCAGTGTGTAGTCTAGCAGCTGTAAAACTTATCCAAATAATTCTCATCAAAACAGCAAGACAAGCAGTAGTTGGTAATTAGGAAGCAAAACTGGTATCAAGTGATAAGTGCACCAAGGTTGTTGCTTCCATGAAACTATCAGGATATACTTATGTTGGTATTTGCTTTTGTGACACTATCCTCGAATTGTGACTATTTTAGCCTTTGGATATCAAGATTATTTATTATAATGTTCTGCTGCATGCATGCCAGAAGAGAGCACCAGACCTTATGATAGATGGTTGTGAGTTGCTGGGAACTGAACTTAGGACCTCTGAAGAGCAGCCAGTGCTTTCAGTCTCTGAGCCATCAATGTAGTGATATTTTGTTTGTAATCTAAAACACCTTTAATCCTAGCACTCGGGAGACAGAGGCAGATAGATCTCTGAGTCCAAGGCTACCCTCTCTGGGCTACATGACAGTGATCAGTTGAAAAAGAAACAGCTCACACCTTTGACACTTGGGATGACAGGGCTTTAATCCCAGCACTAGAGAGTCAAGGTTTGGTGGGGGAGCATTGCAGCCTGCAGTCACTCTGGAACAGGATCTCCCCTCTTTGATCTGAGCCTTGGTAGTGGTAAGAACTCTCCAGTGGTTAGCTGCTTTGCTTTTCTGATCTTCAGTTTGAATCACAATATCTTTCTCTGGGTTTTTATTAATCATGCTACACATCTCTCCAGCCCTGGATGCCGTTTTAATTAATCACTTAGGTTGCTACGAACAGTGGGAGGAGGGGCTTTTGGGGGAGGCAACACAGGTTTGAATCCAATTTCATGTTCTAAGTCATGATGTTTTACTCTAAGTTACTACAACATGAGTCAAGTGTGATAATACAATTTTTCTTTATTAAAAATAATTTACAGCATCAGTAACATATACACAATTTCATTAACTGAACTTTACCTTCAATATATTTCTATACAATACTTAACATTATTGAACTTAAAACTTACACTATTTTGTTGGCTTTAAATAACAATGATTTGTAGTTACTTAAGAGATAATATGGTTTTATAGCCACATATTAGGCGTAAAATTGATAAAAACAAAATGAAAAGACCACATCAGCACAGTCACAGTCCCCCTTGAAGGGGAAAAAAATTCCATTGAAAAAAGTCAAAGTCCACTTCCTTTCCCTGTTTCCCCCCCCAAATCAAATATAGTATCATTATCCAATATCTTAGTATCTTTTCCCTAGACTCAAAGGCAAAAAGGAAGGTGGTTTTTCAACCCTTGAAAACTGTCAATTTTTCTCATCCTGTCATCACTGAGAAGAGGAATGCACACTACATTGTTATCGAATATGCAAATAACCGACTCTGGCTGAGCTCTTTGCTTTACAGGTTTTAGTTCAATACCAGTGAAAATCCAAATAGTCTGGTGAAGAGATGCCTCTCATCCAAGTGCTAACACAGAGAAAGAGGTACCTGCTGGAAACCTTTCCTTTCCTTCATTTGTATGAGCAGCATAACTAAGGCACACACAGCATGGAACACAATGTTCTTGAGACTAAAATGCTGCTGTTGGTAACTACTCTACATTCACAATACTGATTTGCTTTTTGTGTTCACTTCCTTTGCCAAATATTGGTAATGTTTAGAAAATAACAAAAATACTAAAAATAGTCAATAAAGGAAGTGACACATTAAAAACAGGCATTATTTTTTATAACATTTGGCTGGAGGCAGAATTACAAAATACACGCATTGAGACATGCACTTAATTTTCCTCCCCCATTTAAAATCGTGCCTATCGAGATTTTAGTTCATTGTTTCTAAGCAAGAGATTAAGAGAACCTTGATTTTGTTCCCAAAATACAATTTTTATACCATTACTGGACTAGGGGGACTAGAAATGTAAAAATTTGATTCATATCTGTTTATCATCTCTCAGATGTTTATGTCCACACCTTTAACTCAGACTATCAACAGAGTATGCTTTCAAAATAAGTCATTTCCCCCATATATACATCCTGAATTATCATTTCTTTAAAGCAAGTACCAGTATTTTAATACTCAACTTGTAACTTCTCCATTCCTAACTCAGGTTTCTATGTAGATTAATACATATGCAGACATACAAGACAGACACATGGCTTCTACCAGTATACAATATAATTTCAAAGTAGCAAAAACCAAACAAACAAACAAAAAAGAACCCCACTTAGTACAGAGACTTTTTTTTTGTGAAACTCTAGTTCAATTAAGTACATATTTGAAAAATATTCTCAACAGACTGTATGACCGATTATGTGCAAAGTTCTCAGTGCTCTTCACCCACTGGTTTGGTAGTTCCTGAATTTTAGCATAAAACAAGTACTTATTCTTTTGTGCTATGCACAAAACCAAATCAGATAAAGAAAACATTTAAAAAATCATTACATTTAACATCTGTTGCTATGTTTTATTTCTTAATTAAAATGTTATAGGAACTTCTAAAACTAATTTCCAACCCTTTAAAAAAAAGATTTTAAACACAGACAAAGCATGTGCTGTAACAGATATAAATGCAACTAGGAACACATGACATGCAGACAGCAATGATCACCAAGAGTCTTATCCTTATGGTCAGTTTTGATTTAAAAACAAACAAGTTATAATGAAATGAACAGACTGATAATATCCTAAAGAAAGACTCAAACAGCAGTAAGTCAACTTTAAGGACTGTAAAAAATAACATTAAAGAATACTTAGGGGTGCATATCCATATAATTTTGGGTAGGTAATTTATTTGTAAGTTTAGGGGAAATCTAGAGTTGATTGACTCAAGTTGTTTCCAGCATTTAGAAAAGGAAGGTGGAATGTCAGTTGATAATACCTAATTGAGGTTACAGAAGTTACAGTATCA